GGCCAACATATAAAACATGGAGAAAGATGCAAAGTTAAATGATCTAATGCAACACCTTCATCAAATAGAAAAATAACAATAATATAAGCCCACAGCCTCTAGAAGAAAGGAAATTAAGAACAATAGAGGAAATAAAAGAGATATAAAACAAAAAAATAGTACCACGCTAATTTGATTACCACTGTTGTGTTCAAGGAGTGCTATGGCTTCAAACTAATTTTTGTTTCTCAGAAGTGCTTATTCAGAATCTCTTGTCTCTCCAAATAAATTTGATAATTTCTTTCCAATCTCCTTGAAAAGTGAATTTGGTATCTGGATTGGGATTGCATTGAACACGTATATTGTTTTTGGTAGAAATGTTACTTTCACCATATTGAGTCTTCTTATCCATGCACAGGGCACATTTTTCCATTTATTTTGATCTTTTATTGTGTATTTCAGAAATGCTCTGTAGTTTTCACTGTACATCAATGTTCATAGCAGCTGTATTCACCATTCCAAGAACATGGAAACAGCCCAAGTATCCAACCACAAATGAATGGATTAAGAAATTAAGGTAGTGTCAACACTATAGAGTACTATGCAGCATACAGGAGCAATAACTTTGCAAATTATTACCTAACTTGGGAGTGCCTGGAGAGCATTGTGCTGAGTGGACTAACTCGGTCGCACAAGGATAAATATTGTATAAAACCATTATTGTAGACTGAGTATAAGGATCTAGGAGGGATGGGAGAGGCTGGAAACAGAGGGATGTGGATGTGCAGGGATGGTGGTGGTATTAATCATTGGGTTGTATGATTTGATGGAAATTGAAAGAATTTGTTCGAATTTGTATTCAAATTTTGTAAATAAACTAGTAGGGAAAAAAAAGAAATTTATTTTAAAAAAGTAACAAACCAAAACCAGAAAACCAAATCATCAACAAAACCTGAAGCTGGATTTTCAAAAGGAACAACACAATTGACACGCCATTGGCAAACTTTAAATAGAAGGGGAAAAAGGAGAAGAGAGTAATAACTTGATTAATTAATGTTAGCAGTGACATTATAATAATACAGGAGGAAATTAAATCTATATCAGAATATTATGACAATATATACTCTGCTAGAGAAGAGGTTCTAAGAAAAGACTTTTTTTCAGAACCTTCCAAGAAGAGAAGCCATCCTTGTACATGACAGTTTTACTTATAGACTTTCAATTGAAGTTTTACTAGCTGCATCATAAGAGACTGACAGCACCATGATGTGTTCAGAATCACAGAAATCCTGATAGCTTGAGACTTAGACAATCATATCAAGGGCTGGTCAAAGTGAGAGGGGTGTTGAATGATGTAGGCAAAAGTATGAAGGGATGGTGGTGGAGTAAGGAAAGGGTGGATAAAAAACCCCCAAAAAACATGTTGCAAGGGTGAGCAAAAACATTGAATATATTGGCCATTTTTCTAATTGGGTAACT